AATTCAGATAAGAGAGTCACACGCTGATGTAAGAGCGAAGAATTAGGAGATGCAAATAATACTCAGGTGTTGATGATTATCTTCATTTATTTCATCGAACGTTTCGGCTCACTTTGGAGTCCTCCTCAGCGAATACAGTAACAAAAGAAATCTTCCCTTGAGAGCAAGTCACTTGCAGATTGACAGAAATGCAGCAATCGATATACTCAATGGGAAACGAAAAACAAAGCTCAGAAACATTGATTCACAATTTTTAGATTAAATACGAAAGTTATAATATATATTAAATACATGTTGTTTCTCTATAAAATCGTGTCTGTTCGTCGTGACGTGTTGTTTATTTTTTTTTACTCTGTTACTCAATGGCAATAGCATTTTATGATTCAGTATCTTAGATAATAATTTTTTATGGTTCAACAAAATTATTTTTACATCTACGTCTAAATTAAATTTTAGATACTTCAGCAAAGCCATTTTTAATATCGATTTATAATACATTATTAAAACAAACAAAATTTTATATTAAATTGATATAAAAACGTTTCCAAATCAGTTCGCCGATAAATGTGAAAGCAGAGACAGAATATCCTATTATAAGTACATAAATCGTTGGATAAAATACGCTGATGTACTTAAAGCTCGCATGATCTTGCTTCAATTGAAAAGATTTTCTCGTCTCGTTTCTCAGATACTCACGGCGCAATTTTTCTCGAATGCCTCCTGACGTGAGCATAAGAAATATGTCGCTGACACGTTTGATGTAAGGCGACCCTTCCAAAAAAACAGTACCGACCGGTGGCGACAGATAGCAGAGGTTCGTCGTCATTATCACGGTCTCGCCGTTCCGTATATTGTTGGTTGCGACTAGTTCGATCCAGTTATCATTCATAAAGCAGGAGACGTTCTGATGCATCAATAGATCCTTTAGACAGATCTCTATTGTGGGAACCTTTAAGATTTTCTTGCCTGATTTGCGTATGTGGTATTCGAAGACGTTATTGAGCTTAATGATATCCGGTACATTTTCTTGCACCATCAACGCCAAATCTGAGTTTATCAGATCCTGTAGATTGTCAAACTGAATATAATGATTGCTCTTGAAACTAGTGCTCGTCAATTCGACGAAAAACATTGAGGAATAGTAAGTGGAGATAACAACAATACTGAAAAAAATGATTCGTTCGTGTAGCTTTATGGGTGCCGGTGGAAATGATGTGGCCAACATCATACCAACAATCCTCAAAGAATGCCATCTGTTCGGATTGAACTTCATAAATCTTGAGCACAACCAGAAGATTCCTACGATCAAGATACTTATAAAAAGTACTCGAGTTGCAGTACCGAATATGAAATTCTGCTTTGCAAGCAATTTTGGCACTACAAAGCACCAATTTTCAATGTGAAGAGGATTGCTGTATTGTATGTTGCATTGTGCATTGCAAATACTTCCCCATATTGGTAACGAAATCAAAAGAGCGTCATACTTTCCAGAAGATATGTCAACCACGATACCATGTTGAGAGCCATTAGGCATTATCTGGAAATAGATGGGCTGTGTTATTATCTTAGGTATACCAGTGAAGTTCATTTTATCTGCTAGAATCTCATTCAGGATCTTGTCCACGCCTTTTAGTTCCTGTCTGTTAGATGTTGATACAATATCGCTATAGGGAGGTCGGCGGGTAAAAGCATATATGAATGGATAACCCTGCATATTTGGAAAATCTTCTGTAAACCATGCGACATCTGCGGAATATGGTTCCTCGGTATGACTGTCATTGAACGGATTGTATCGGTGGATAATCGTTGACCATTTATCGGAATACTCTAATTTGGAGTATTCTACGACGATTGCGTCGAGAATCTTCTTCGACCACATTGCTCGAAACAGTTTCGTGAGGTCGTGACACGGTCGACGAAGTATCATCAGTACAAGTACCTTAGGCCGGGAGCGGTCGTGAATGAAGCGTTTCGTGTCTTCGGCCACGAGCTCGCCCTCGACGATATCCGGTCCTCGCCCTGAGACGTAGATATATACGACTAGATCGCGTGACATTGCCCAGGAAGAAACCCGAAACTCTGGCTCCATCCGATCCGCGTTTACATAAAGCGTCGGTATACGTTGAGTTGTCGTTGCAGCTATTTTATCGAGAATATCGTTCATCTGCCCGTTCAACATCGAATCTCGAAGTATGAGAAGAACATCTTTAGGTCGTGACGTTTGCAATACTTTGTTCAAGATATCCGCGAAAAAGTCTTCGCGTGACTGATAATTTGATAGAGGCAGACGACTTTGACTTTCGACGAGACAGGCAAGTATAATGGTCCAGAACAAACATTGCCACATGATTCTTATTTCCCTGATAACTGAAGAAAGTGGCTGTAGTTAGTTTCGGAAGTAGTTGAAATGAACGACTGCGAAAAATAACTCGGCTCGATAGTATCGACAACTGCACGTGCGACATGAGTTACGCATACATTAACGAAAGAAATATGAGTTCCGTTCAAACATTTACAGAGAATTGCTTTTTACGCTGACATAACCGTCGCACATAATAGTTAAAGATCATTAGTCTTTGTCACTAACATATTGATTTTTATATGCCGAGGATAAAAAATTGATCTCCACGTTGATAGTGTCAAATAAGAGCTACAAAGTGTATACAATTTTTTTTATATAATTAAATTACATGTTTATTTACCTAATTATTGTTGGGTGGTCACTTTCTTGAAAATAAAGAAAAATATTTCAAACAAAATAAATGTTTGAACATATTGTTCACTTGTGACTTTTAATGCACACCATGAAATCTACCCGTATAATTTTTTATTTTCAAAATAAAGAAGGGAAGGTTGAAGGAAAACTTATTAAAATATGAAAATTAAAATTAAAATTTTATGTAAAATAAATTAATAAATAAATTAATAAAACTTTCTAAGGATTACGTTTCGAAATCTGCTACTTTTTAACTCTTCAAAGATTATTTAATCGATTATTTCTAGAATTCTTATAAGCTACGATTTCAAAAATAATAATTTATTAAAAGTAGTATCACAAATTTAATGTGTTTTGCAAATTTGGAATCCGATGGTGACGCGAATATACGTATATGTATATTGCTACATATATAAAGAGTTACTCTCTCTCAAATTAATTCCCACGAGTTCGAGACTAAAGGAGACAGGATAGCCGTGTGCGCATCCGGACGCCATAGTCCAGTGCCCTTTTAAGTTAAAGGGAAGAAGAGTCGACGGTGAACGCCGCAGAAACCGAAGGGACACCGATATAAATCAACGTTCGGCCGGCACGACTTGCTCTAGAACGGAACGGAGTAAACTGAGGAAAAGAGACGGTGCACGCGAGTGGCGAGACATCGAAGTCGAAGTCGCCTCGTGTCTCCCCCTCGCTACTTATGCTAATGCCGGCAAATCAATTTATTTATATTTATTTATAGCATTCAAATGTTTCTACCCGGAACGGGGCTGAGCGCGCGCGGAGTGCGGACGTCGCCGGTTGTCGGCGCAGACCACCCGCGAAAGCGAGCCGATCCCGCTCGCTGCGGGCTACGAGATCCGTGGGGTCCAAGATCGCCCCCTTCTCTCAGACTGATACAGATAGCTGGAGAATGCTGGACGTAGGTCTGGGTAGTCCGCTCGACGCATCACCAGACTGACCAGACGATTCGAAATTTCGTGATGCAGACCTCTGGATGCAATCGTCGGCTAGGAAAGAGAGACAAGACGTTTTCACGAACAAAGTTTTGAATCCTGAACGACTTAGCGAACATTTGTCGTAACAGTTACGTCTTTTTCTCAGAGATATAATTTTTTATAATTTGGCTGCAGGGTAAGGACATTGAACCGTATGCTTCATGTGTTAGTACGCTCAAGAGAGACCGCGCTTGCCTGATAAAAACTTGCTGGCGATTAGAGACAGTTGATTGACAACCAGTTTATTTTCTAATACTGCGCACGCGCCTATGTGCGTAACACAACAATCAACATAATAACCGTATATTTTTATTTTTTTTCTACTTCTAATATGTTAAGGTATTATAACTTTAAACTTGAAGAAGTATAATGAAAAAAGTTTTAATTTATGATTTATAATGAGAAAAGTTAGGATTCAAAAAGAGTCACTTTTATTTCTATCGAACAATATAATTTCACTCCTCTATGGTAAATATGCATGCGACTATATGCCGTGACACTACATAACGAAGAATATCACATCTGTCGGGTGCGGTTATAACTCGAATTATACGTGTGACGTAATCCCGAAGAACCCGAGTGTACCCGAAGTCCTCAGTAACGTATACATGTATGAAAAGACGTGATGTCGAGAGAATTTCCTGATGTTTGCTTACAATATATATCATTTTGATTTTTTAAAGCTTTAATACATTCCTCAATATTTTTTATATCAAACATTAATTTTTTACATCTAATTGTTCGCTGAAATATAATCGAAGTATCGATAATATAAAACTTAGATTTGCTTATTAATAAGACACCCTTTATGAGTAACTAGGTGGGTCAGTATGCACAACGCGATTAATTGTGACAATTAAACAATTATGGACATGAACGTATAAAATAGTTCTGACTTCGAAAATTTTATTTATTATAAGAAAACTTTTCAATATTTATTTGTGTATATTAAAAATATTTAATTTTGTCCAATTATTTATTACTTTTTATATCGATAATTCCACAGTAATTGTCTGTCATTTGATAATAATTAATAATAAATTACGTTATATCAATATAAATCAAATACTTCATAATTTATAAATAAAATATTAAAAAATATCTGTGTGATCCAACTCTTACAAAAAATCATATATATATATATATAAATTTATTCTCGTGTGATAATAATATAAAATTTTTTCGTTAAGGATACAATTTATTGTTATAAATGTTATCTAAGGTTTAGCGAGTTTAATTTGTTCTGATTTACTTATTTCTGAGTCACTCGGTATAATCGGAGGGCCAGCGCAACGCGCGGCGCGGTCAGTTGTGTCAATTATAGGCGTGGACATATAGAATACATAAAGAGTATTTGAAAGTGAATATTTTTTCGTCGTGAAAAGTTTTCGCAAAGTGAAAAGTTAAGACGCTCATCAAGCTTTTTTCGAAATGGCCATTGGAATTCGCTTTTCCTTTCTCATAGTAGCATTGCTCTTCCTTTGCTGGGTCCAAGAAGGTATACTAAATCAGGAAAATATTTAAGTTTTATTTAATATTTTTACATTAATCTTCAAATAACTTTTAAATATCAAGATTACAAGTATATTGCGCGTATGTATATAACGCGGTCAGTGTTTTTACAGAGATTTGCGTATAATTACTATAAAATAAAATTTTCCAAACATATTCCTAACCTCCACTTTACAAAAATAAGCACTTTACAGAATAAGTATATTACGTACTATTTAAATAGAATATGTTTGATATATTGTGGGTTGCGTGTACTTGCAATTGAGACTTTTGAATTTTGTCATATTCTTTTAGGCCTTTCAATTAAATGTTGGGTGTGCAGATCAGACTCGGATCCAAAGTGCTCAGATCCGTTTGATAATTCCACAGTGCCTATTACAGACTGTAAACAGGAACCTGACTTGGAGCACTTGCCAGGTGTAAGACCAACGATGTGCCGTAAAATTCGTCAAAAAGGTTGTTTATTTATAACAGTATTATATGGTTCCACATATAGCTAGTATACAAAAATACAAATTTGTTATATATAGGTGTTATTTTGTTGCACCATGTATTTTATATAAATTATCGTTTGCAGTTAATGGGGAATGGAGATATTTCCGGAGTTGTGCTTACATGGGCGAGCCAGGGATTGCAGGCGATGAGCGATTTTGCTTAATGCGAACTGGGACGTATAATATATTTATGGAATACTGTACGTGCAATAGCAAAGACGGTTGTAACTCAGCACCCTATCAATATGTAAATTGGCTTCTCTTATTAATCGGCCTAATAACAACTGTTCGATACGTATTCGTCGTTTGAAAAAGTCTAGCCAAAGATTCTTAACAGATCTATTCACTGGATAGTGTAGATTTCAGTAATTATTTTTACAGTTCAAGATTCACTTGTACTTACTCAATATTCTTCTTATTTTACACATCGTCAGGGAAGACGCAAACTCCAGCAATCAAATATATATAGATATCGTAGTTTTACACAATGCAATTTTGCAATTTTTATAATTTTTTACGTAATATTCAAGTGCCTTTTTATATCTATCTTTAAATATCATTGATGGAAATTTTTAATATTTATAAAAAGGAATAACTTCCAGTAAGTCAGTAATTTACCCTGACATTTAAGCTAAATTTTGTCAATAAATTACATATTTTATAGAAATATATTTTTACTGCTATATAAAAGAATGTACTATATATTTGTACTATTTTCTCCATTTTAATATTATTATAGTACAAAACTATGAATCTCTTACTAATATTGAATTAGTCGATTATAACCCTAGATATTAAGAATAAGACTGCTAAAACCGTCCGAATTAATCATGCGATCAATTTAGTTTTAACGCGATATTTTGCTACCTTATTATTTTTGTACATACTTTTTTTTTAGTAATATTTACACTTGTATTGCCATACAACATGAACATTGCATGATTTGTAACATTGTATCAGCGATGTATTTTATTCGTACAAAGCACAATATCATTATGCTCAAACGTTATTATAAAATTGTTAGACGATTGCATAAAGTGCAGAAAATAAAATAAATTCTAAATCGAAAATTACATTTGTCTTGACAAATAGAAAATTTGAAAAAGTTATTGAGAAGAGTATATGAAAAGTATTTTTTATTCGTTATAGGAAAAAAGAGTGAAATTGTGGATAATATAAGATGTATTTATAAATAAAATTTTTCTTTTACATACAATGCAGAAGTAAATAAAAATATTATCTTAAACGAAATGTATGTGTACTTTTTGGTGTCAGCAGTTACAAACATACAAATATTCCTTAAAATAGCGTCAAAATATACATTATTAAAACAATTATAGAAAATATGTTAATTGATATTACATAATGTAACTACTTTGAAATTTTTTGAACTGCAACGAAGTTCTTTGGATCAAGTGGAATTGTCGTCGCGCCAACAATTCGTCTCTTGTCGTAGGCTCTTCTCTCTGTAGCTGTAGATTCTGCAAGCTTGTCGGAATTTTTGTGGCATTCTTATTTAAGCTGGTGTAATAACATTGAAAAAAAAATATTAATACTTAATTAATATTTAATGTCTTCAAAAGGATATAATGCAATTATACAACGATTGCGATTTTTGTAACATCTTATATATAATTGATATAAAATATTTTTTACTAATAAACGTATAAATATATAATTGATAGAAAAAAATATTTCGATGTATCACAATTGGAAACAGTTTTTTGCTAATATTAACTTGAAATACCAAGTCGTTACTTGTTCCGTTTCTAGTTAGTATCATAATAAAAATGAGCATTTAACGTACATAGAAAACTAGTTAAATTTATCATTATTAAAGATCATAAACGATACGCTTTTGTAAGCGACTGTATATATGAGTTGTAATTCATACAAAAATTATGTTATCTGTGTGTCGAAACAAAATATCACTTAATACTAAAGTTACATGGCGAGCTTATTCTCGTGAGCTTATAAAATAAAATATGATATGTATTTGTTATAATTATCCATTTTAACTACACATATAGTATATGCTTAGTTCTTACTTTACGGACGGTTACATTACATCGGATTATGGTTAGAAAGATCGAGTTCTTTCCTTCGTAAAATCAAGGACGGTTAAAGTTGGCAAAAGTTTTGTATATACAGAATATATGCAATCGAAAATTACAACTAAATTAATTTAAAACCAATTTTCTTTTATGAAATCACGTAATTTTTTCCTAAAATCAAACAGTAGATCGTAGACATCTGTGTGTGCAGTAAGAAAGATTCACGTAAACGTGTGCACTCGTATACGTTTCTATGATATTCTTTGGAATAGCCTTATCGATCGGTGTCGTAAATATGTATGGCGTACGCGCGTATAGTGATCTCATTTTCGCTGTCTCTAGATATCTAATTGTAACAGGAAAGTACGTCGTACGTTCAACGGCTGTAGTTTTCGTTGAATAAGTTACCGATTTCTCGTGTGTCTTATTTTTATTCAAATGCTTGCCACTTTGTTATCTGTTGCCCCGGTTTCGCTAAAGCTTGCTTCCATTGTTCACCGTAAGCTCCACCAACATCAGGTCCAATCACAAAGTGACCCACAGGAGTCTTTTTGCCTAAATAATTGTATAATAAGAAGAATGGTATGATTATATATTGATATTTTATAGAGGTGTAAAATTTTAGTTGCTTACCCATTTTATTCTTCGAAACGAACTTTACAACGAAGCTCACGTCATTGAGCGCTCCTTTGTACGGATTGTCGGCGACAACTCTCGCCGTCTCAGGTGAGAATTTCATGGACACCGTTGGTGTAAATCGATCGCTCTTCCAAAAGTGTGTTATTCGACCACTGTCGACAACCGACATCTTCAGATACATTTGTCCTTTTAAACCTTCATGCTCATGCATCGTCTGAAGCGAACATCTCAGACGGTTTAGAGACAATATCAATTGCCCGCCACTGTCTTCATCTTTCTCGCCCTTCGATAGACATAAAGACAATTCGACTTGGCCTTTTTTGTTCTCTTTCTGAAAGATTATTATATCGTGTATATTTCAATAGTAAAATATTAAATAAAGAATATATATATAGCAGTATAAACATCATTTAAAAAATTTCAATATTTTTAGAAAATAAACGCGCTCCTATATTTTATTTATCAATATATACAAAATGATACCTATTTTCGAAGAATTGTAAAAATGAAGAAGAAATACACTAGATATAACTTTAATAATGAAGATTTTATCGTGGAAATTAAGATTTATCTTTGAGAAAATCTGTTTGTTCAACGTATGCTTGCGAAGTTATACACTAATTGCAAGTATGTGCGATATTATTGTGTTAACCAAAAGGTTAACTTTACACGAATACCTCGCAAACAATTATATTCGATTCGTCTTTATTTGGAAATGGTATAACTGTGGTTTTGCGATCACAATTGTTACGAGACTGTAGATACTTACTCTTTCATCGGCACCTGAGATACCACTGGCGATCGGTCGTAATGGTTTCCATAGATCTCCTGTGGATACGTCACTGGTATGTTTCGATTTTGGTGGTTTGCAAACAAAGTTCTTTGGATCAAGTGGAATTGTCGTCGCGCCAACAGTTCGTCTCTTGTCGTAGGCTCTTCTCTCTGTAGCTGTAGATTCTGCGAGCTTGTCGGAATTTTTACCAAAGAACTGGCTAAAGAGTTTATTTTTGGTAGAATCCTGATTATCGGAAGAAGTACTTTGACCTTCCTTCTTTTTTCCACCTTTCTTCGATGCTTCTTTAGTAGGCGACGTTTTCTCTGACTCTTTCTTTTCAGTTGCTATCAAAGGTTTATCCTCAAGAATTGCGTAAAGAGTCGCTACGATAAATCTAGATCCATTAATTTCCTCTTCCACAACTTTTGATTTGCCAAACTTTTGCTTGGTTTCTTTGCGCAAGGGAAAAACGAATTCTTCGTTCCACTGTGGCCAGGATTCATTCCTTGAAGTGGTTTCGAACTTGTCTTTTCCAGGAATCAGCTTCACCTAAAAAATTCAGACTATCAGTTTTTTTCTAATAGTAAACTTGGACTCATTTATAATTTATTGTGCAAACTTTGAAGCGAATAAAAAATTAGACAAGTAGTAAATGTAAAGAAATTAATATTTTTTTTATATCTGTTCTGTGATGAGAACAATTTTCACTTACGATTTATTGCGCAAGTTTTGAAGTAGAAATATATAAGAATTAAATGAAAAAAAATATCAGAGAAATTTAGGAGAATTAACATATATTTTTATTTGTGCGCGCGAGCGTGTGTGTGTGAGACGACGATAAATTTTCTAAAGAATTCATTGAATTATGAAATATGCACTTTTAGTTAATTTATACATTTTATTAATGAATTAATTGGTACATTCTAGCGATAAAGAGAAAATGTATGTTTGAATTACGACTGAATTTTCATTCAGTAATAATTAATGAAATCAAAATAGAAATATTTATGATCGCGTTACTCTGGTAACAGATATTTCATTAACGATTCGTGTGTACAGCACGTGTTCCCGAAATATGTTGAAGCGTTTAATCGATTTTTGTTATATATATAGATGTTTAGCAATATGTCGTCCTGTTTGCGCGACAATGTCGAAGGAAGTTGTAAAGAACATTCTCTCTCGTCAGTCAATAAGATACTACAGTTAGTGTCGGACTTCTATAATGCGTTACTCATATAGCATTATGTAATCATAGATAACATCCAGGAGTGCTGCGAGCGTCTCCGACGCTTAATTCGGTTCGAGTACGGCGAAGCGTAGCGAAGCGCGATTTTACAGTTTACACAAAAGTGTTGACGTCGTTTGATATCTCCGACGTACATTTACCGAGCGACGTAATTAGTTCATTTCATATTTTATTAGTGCAGACAAAATTAAATTAATGTATACAAAAAGATTTAAAAAAGTAAAATCATTGTGTTAAATCTATGGATTTAAACGGATCTCTCTATCCTTATATATAATTTACATTAAATCCTGATTATTAAAAAAGACTCTGTGTAATTGATTAATTATTTGATGTGTCATTCGAATTGTTATATTAATAAATTATTGACCTATAGAATTTAAAGTTGCCTCGTTGTTAATCTCTTTGCTGAAAACAGATACGTTCAGTGCTAAATGTGAAATATGAGCCATTAACGAGACATGCGTTTTTTGTTTGTTCAAATACGATTGATCCACATTCTCGTGTTTACTCTACCTTTACAACGTAGCTATTGACTCTGGTGAAGCCGAAGTTCTGTGGCAAGTGTCTGGCACCGAGAACTGTGACGTTTAGTGTCTTGTCGTTTGGCGAGTGCATAATCTTAATGCCGATTTCTGGTTCCAGATTCACCGTACGATCCAACGGCGTAGACACCGTCTTCAGACTGTTGTCGATAAAATTTCTGATCTTTGCCAGCGCCATGTTCGCGCAATTGTCCTCTCGAAATTACGGCTTCCCAATTACGGCTTATCGGCAAATGAGTGAACCGTTTAGATAACGGTTGATCACCACAGGCTCGGTGGCGTTGTTCGCGAACGCTGCAAAATTCTATCGTGAGCTATAACCACTATAAGCTAGCTGCACAAGCGCACGCTAAAGGTGTGCTATTAATACGCGCATGTATATCTATATAATACGGCGTCATACTTGCTCGTTCTTGTCCAAAGACATGATTTTCGAAATGACGCAAGATTATTTGACGTGGCTACAAGAATTTCTGTAAATATATTCGATAACGAGAACACCTTCCATTTCATTGTTATCATTTTGAAGATAATAATAACGATTATTAAAACGTTGATGTGATAATCCTATTTTACGTCAACGTTTTATCAGTTGCATTTATTATTTTTTATTTATAGGAAGGAAATAATTCCTTAAGTTATTCCTTAAGAAAAAATTATCTTATTTATAAAAAAAAATAGAAGATCTCTCAATTCTTTTTTTGATACCGATTATATGTTGCGCGATGTAACATTTGATATTTTATAATAGAGAGTAAATAGTTTTACACAAATGCAAAATATTTATTATTAAAAATCATGTTCGCAAAATATTTATTATTAGAAAAGCATTAAGATAATATTGTGCTCCGGTCGATATTCTTTGACTTTCGATCGTAAAATATGATCGTAAATTCTTGCGATCGTAAAGCAGCATGCTTTCTCTCTTCATTGGATAACACAATACTTTTATCATCCACAACAGGTGATTATCAGCTGTTCTGAATCAGTAATGGTATGACGGCTCGGCCCTTTTGCTCCCGGCAATAAAGCCACGTACATGCAAGAGCAGGATGTTTCAGAAACGAAGAAACTAACGCGATCGAACTTTCTCCATGAGAAGGAAAAAAAAGCTTCGTTCCATCGTGACCACACCGGTACCGTCGATCGATCCGGAGCGATCGCACGACCCGCTATACAGCAACCGCGGAATGTCGCGTGGAAAATCGCATTTAACGCCAAGGCCCGATGACACCGACCTCCATTATCACGTTATTAACTAAGGAGAATTGACGAGGTAAATAGGATAGAGACGCCTGGCATTTCCCACCTTCTTAATAGAGACTTTAATGCTCGGTGTCATCCAGAGTAGAATAAAACAAAGGCGGTAATACATTCGATCTTCTTACAATCCTTCAATATCGTTTCGTCTACAAACTGAATAAAATTTCACTTTAAGTATATTATTTGAATCTTATTAGTTTAAGTTTTTAGAGCATATTTTTTTCGCGTTGAAGGAATAACAGAAATATTTTTATTTTATTTATTTAATCTCTTTGAGTAATTAATCACTGAGCTGCAATTTTTTTTACTATTATTGGAAACATCCGAAAATAATTCGTTAAATTCTAATTTAATACGAACGTGCGCGGTTTCGAATTATACGAGAAGAAATACAACGCATTGACTCGGATGACATGCGTCAGGTAGCTTATTCCACGCGCGACAGTGATATTGAAGTTATTTGTAAACTAATGACGATTCGTAGAATTGCGCAACCCCGCGAGAAACAAAACTTGCACGTACCATAATCGCAATTCGGAGCAAATTGCTGCTGCGGCTGTTTCCAGCAACGACCGAGATCTCAAGCAAACAGGAAGAGGATCGTTGGTTGAGCCAGCAACCGGCGAGCAGCAACCGAGTCTGGCAGGTCTGTGACTGGTGAGGGATCCTCGGCGCGGTCTTGCCGTCGACGGCCAATGGTGTCAGACACGCGATGCCATGGTCACACCGAAAGCGATCGAACGCGTACACGCACCACCACCTCTGCCGATCGCCAGGAGGAATTCACCGAGGGCTTTCACCACACACGCCGTCGACGCCGTCGCGTCGTCCGTAATTGTGTTCGCAGCGCGATCCACCGCGCATCGCAATTCGTACCGAGATGCGTTCAAGCAGTCATCGGCAATGAGATATGTGGGACCCCATGAATGGCTGCTCCGTAGGCGATTGCGCGCGTGCGATCGTTGTTGTAGCGTGACAGTTGTTGGAACGTCGGCAGTCGGCTCCGTTTGCGCGCGACGCGCCGCCGTGCCGTGGTATGTAGCTTGCTTTCGCGTGGGTTTCCTTTATAAGAGACCAGCGTAGCCGGTTTACAGTGACGGATTGTAACAAGGCATCTTCGAATGTGGGCACCAGTCGGACAGAAATTAAAATAAAAGAACTAACGATGCGCGCAAGAATGTTGCTAGAAAGAAATATATTCTCTCGCGTCTATTGTGTATGAATTACAACGTGTACCAATTGTTTAAAAATATTTTCTGCTTACTTTTTCGTACAAGATATATATAATTGTTAACTAATTTTTAGTATTACTCTGCTTAACATACTTAATATACAATTAAATCTCTCATGATTACGTCAGATAATTGTAATTGTAAATAAAAGTTGATTGCAACTTTTAAATCTTTATGTAAAGGAAGCTCCGAAGGGCATCAAAGATTTGTAACTACGGTACTGTCGTAAAAGTAGCCGTTGTCGTTAAAGTAGGGGATTTACTTGTACTCGCTATCGTACGCGCGCCGTCTCTAGGTTGTAGAGCTGTGGTTGTAGAGTGACGCCTGTTGCGCTCACAAGGTCGCACATTCGCATTACACGTTGGTGTGCATGTACAAGTGTGTGTGAATGTGCAGGTACGTGAATGTACACGAGCCTCTGCGTGAGTAAGCACAACCACATGAACGAGAGTCTGAGGGTAACGAAAACAGGACTGTAAATAGCAGTAAATTCTCCTTATCCAAAATAAGAAAAGTATAAATAAAGAATAAAAATATATATAAATAATAAAGAATATTTGCGATCGATGATTTTCAGTATTAGAGTTGATGTAAAATTCTAATAATACGACGTAGACATCCTAATAATGTGACGTACCTTTTTGTAAAAAATTAAAAATTTGTGGAGGTATGTAAGAATTTAGATAACGTATCAAAACGATGTTCGCGGCAATAAGCAAACAAAAAGATTACTATGAATTGCTAATGAAGAACTGATACATCGAAGCGACAATTTATGCGACTTAAAACGTGCATAAGAATCATAATCGGTGAATTGCGGAAGATGCTACGTAACATAAATTGATACATCTTGATGCGTAGAAGAAACTAATTATTATGTCACTCGATGATCTTGTGCAGGTAGCTTGAAAGAATGCGGTAGAGAATATTGTGTTGCATAAAAAATGAATCGCGGCAGCTGCATTAGAATACGATGCGTCTAATGTGTTGCTGTTAAAAGCACTCGACAAAGCAAATCATTAAATTATTTAAATATACAATCTATTTTGTGATTATCTTCAAATGTTTATATTAAGACTTATTTTCTAGCACAATTCGATCTTTGGATCTCTTATTTCAATACGAGAAATAATACTGTGGAAATATAATAAAACTTCATATAAACACTGCTTACTTACAATTTTTCTAATTTATATTTCTCTTTTTTACATAATGAGGGCTTGCAATACACAATAGACTTTCGCAGGAACGAATACATTTGCGTTCGCGATTGCATTATTTCAAACGCAACAATATTTAAATACGCGTTCCGGACGATGCTCTGCACGTATCTAATTGTGTTGATCGCACGTGATGATATGCAAGGATGGCTTTGTCAGATACTGTAGCCTTCAAAGTTAAGTAATGTTTGTAACTGTGATTATATTAAACACAAACTGCATCTATTGGAAGTGAATTCAATTTGTTATGCTATCGATATATCGTTTCTTCAAAAATAAACTATTTTGCATACGTTCGGATAAATTATAATTTAAAAAGATAAATTCTACAATACAATTCTACAGAACATTAATTATAAATAAGTAGAAATAAAGTAGAAATGAAAAATAACGGTTACCTAGTGTCAATAATTTAAGTTACTTGTAAGGTGACAGAAACTGATATTTTCTGCAGAAGTCAAGCAACAATTTGAGACGAGAGGGTTGAAAGTAGCTGCACCCTACGGTAGATGGCAATAATAATGGCAATCAACCCCTCCTTTTTGCCAAATAACATCTACGGTTAACGAACAGCTGTTCAGCACCGCCATGGCGCACGCGACGTCGCGACGTCAAAAACACTTCGAACAATTTCGATTTATTCATGCTGAAAAAATCTTCCCGCGTCGCGACACGATTTATCTGGTGATAAACTTTCGATCGTAGATCGATATTTCGAGATAGTGTTTCGAATTGTGCCAATTGAATATTTGCGAGTGATATGGGTGACATTTCGGAGATATTAAAGTGCGAATTTTGATCCTTAACAGGTAGGAGAATTTGTTTTTTATTTACTTCTTAATGTCTTTATATTTTGGATAATTGTTTATGCGTTGCATAATTTCTACCGAGATTACGTAATGAAAAGAGTGACATGTAATTGGCAAATCAGACAGAGATGTCATATACAAAGATATATAATAATATAACAAAAGATATTAAATAAATTAAAAAAAATTTTCATAAACAAATTTTAAATAATTTTTATTATTATAGATGCGATATATTTTTGTTACATTTATTGCATAACATTATTTAAATAAATAGGACATATTAGGCTACTTTTAAAAGAAAATAATTTATTGAATAAAATATGTCTAAAATTTCTTAATTGTTTTATTACAAGAATATTATTTTAAGAACTACGAACAAACTATTTGTATATGTATCAATATATTGTTTTATTTTACATGTACATAGATTATGTGTTCTTTAAAATTAAATGTATTTCTCTAAAATTATCGAGATACCTTATATCAAAGTTGTTATAAAACACTTAACACCTTGATCGTGAGATGGCACCACGTATATTTCAATTTGGCAAAATGCGGAATAAATTAATTTTTATTCTGCAAATTATTATATCGCTCAATTGGTATACTCAAGTCCGATGTTTATTATTTTTATATTGATATTTACTCTATTAATCATATTAAAAAAAAATAATATGTACATCTCAAACAAAAAAAAATCTAAAATCGAGACATAAAATGTCTTAAAAATGTCTTTTTAAAAATGCCATTAAAACATCTTTTACTCGTCTTTCAGATGTTTTATGTCTCGTTTTTGAATATGCATGTTGCCTGGAATTATTGAGATTATTTTTTGTGAAATTGGTCAAAGAAATTAATACCGATGATTTGAAACAGAAAAAAAATTCTCACGTATGTTTATATGTTTACATAAATATTTATATAAATATTTACATATTTTTGACATGCATACGTGCTTGTAATATTTATGCAACGCGTAGGAAAACTTGAATATATTTTCCAAGTGTTAAAATGAAATTTAGAATGTATGGGCAAAATGTTTCCATACTACCATGTGTCACATTTTTCTTCCTTAGTTATAAAATAATTTTAAATGATTTATTTCAAGATGCTAATATAATTTGCGTATATGTGACAAAGAGCAATAGGGATATAATCCTTTTTTCACAGAGGAAAGGCAACACATACGATCCGGAAAATCATACACTCTGTTTTCAGTTACACGTGTTCTTATTCAAGTCACGTTCCGACGACAAGGGTAATAGCCTCGAACTTTGTCTTCGTCGGATCAGCTTAACTTCCGGTAGTAAAATTTCACGAAATTCTAGTGCGGTCTCGGCGAAATATGTTTTCTGTGGTTCCTGGCATTTTTCAGCTTGATCGATCACTGCCACGTTGTTATATGTAGGAAGCCGGAGATATAACGGACGTTTTTATGAGTTTCCTAGAACACGGACGTTACATCTCACCAATTAATTTACATTACCATAGCATACACGTAGTTTTACAAAATTAAATTTAAAAAATAATTTATAATTATAGTTAATTATAAATTATTTACAATTAAATAAATTCAAAATAAAGAATAATTTATAATTATAATTAATTTTAATTTTAAAAAATTAAAGAAATAACATATTATTAAAAATTAAAGAAACAACTATTTTTGTTAATATAACCGTGAAACATTCGCCAAAATTCATTTGCATTTTTAAAAAATGCATATATGTGTTCCAATTATCTGTATCCATCTGCAGAGTTATCTGATGTTCAATATACGGTGCCACGTCGACACAGTAAGAAAAAAACCGATATGGCGAAATCACATTATGCGCTAGTAATCCGCGCTGCATTACGATGAATGCTGCACGTGTCTGCGGCTTTTCCACGTCACGAGATTCATGAATGCAAATATTCTGCGAATAAAGAGTCACGCACGCTCTTTACATCATTCACCTTTCTCATTTTCGTTCCGCGTCTCCTTCCACCCTCTTCCATCCCTTTGTTCTTCCTTACATTATTTCCCCCTTGCTCTTCGCCATAACGGATTGAACTTCAACCTTAGATGCGTATCCCGATACGCGTCGCCCATTTTCACGTTTATGATTTAATGAACGCAACTCCGCACCTTCTATCGACAGTAGTCCACGCTTCTTCCCTCAATAAATCTATCTCCGGCGTATGCCTTATTATAAACTCTTTTGCGTGGGGGGGGGGTTTTAAAAGTATAGCTCGCAACTTCGTCTCGCGAAGCTTCGTATTAAGCTTCCACTTTAAAAGCGGCACCTCGGCAGCCGGTGGAAGTATCGCCGAAGTTTAGCTAATCGTTTCTCATCGCGGACGCTGATAAATTATTCAGTTATAACGCCCATCGCCACGGATTGAACAATTTTGAAGTATAGGAAAGGGAGAGAGAGAGAGAGAGAGAGAGAGAGATGTAGTACATTTCTTGACTTTTCGAACATTTCTCGTGATATCGAATTAGTATCGCGCAGTGCGGAGATTAAAGTCAGATTTCGAAGTGCTTGGTAATTCTCTGTACGTATTTCTCGCACGTAGTTGCAGCTTGATATATTTAACCTCTCTTTGACCCTGCGCACCCTTTTAAGTACATCATTACGTATTCTCTTTTGTAACGTCAAGCTTTATGCAGACCACATTCGCAGCACCTTCCTATTCTTGATCATATCGCATATTAACTGGGCAAGGTGATAATTTTATCCCTTATTGTAAATGTTTTCTATTAGCTAAAGGTACAATAAATATATATTTAGCTGAC